TGACTTTATCCTCTTGGGTAAAATGGACCAAACCGTTACGTTCGGTGAATTAAAATGGTGTCTGCTAAACCATAATGTGACGCATAGTACGTTTCCTCTAGCCTTGGTCTAGACGCAGATTTAGACTCATCTCTAAAAATTACGGACGTACAGCGAGACCGTATCTTATAGCAGGGGTCGCAAAATTCCCGGTTCGCGGTGAGCCCCCGCGCACCCCCCTGCCGGATACTACTGCTGATCGTATTCTTTTGAAAAAAAAAACAACGTAAATTTATAAAGAAATGTTATCGAAGTAACAGCAAGTGAATTGTGGCTCCCTACGAGTTGTAGGCGAGTAAAGAATGGAAAAATGGCTGGTGAACCTCGCTTTTGCGACCCCTGTCCTATCTCGTCACATAACAGTGTCTTTGTTTGGTTTTTTGCAAATTTTATCCGCACTGTGACTGTAACCTAGAAGCAAAAGAAGGCAATTCAAAACCATCTGTGTACTTGGTACACACAAAGAAGAGTGTACTTGCTTTTTCATCTTTTTTCATCGAAAAGGCGCCAATCAGTATCATACCCCGCGTGCCGTGATCTTTTGGTTACTACCTGCTGATCTGTGTAAAAAGAAAAGACTGCATAGGATATAACATGTGAGTAAACATAAGGGTCGTATGCTGGCATAAGTTCCCTTTTAGGCTATTTTGGGATGGTTATCCTGTATAGGCCAAGCGGTATGGAGAATCCGTTAAACTATCCCGCTCTGCAGAAATGTGAAAGCATAAATTTGGGTTGCACACGCTTTATTGCAATAATTTTTTGTAGGACTATGGTTGTAGCCTTAAATGAATTGTATGTTCTGCCATGTCAATTTTATCATGGTACACTATCTGCTTAATAATGACTCATCTTTCACGTAGGGAAATTCTCATTTTTCCGTATGGGCAGATCTAGATTACAAGATAAAGATAACCCAGTAATGATAAAATCATATCACAAAAGTTTAATAACATTTCGTTACGTTGGTGTCATTTTGTTTCGGCATCCACACCAAGAAGGCCAGGAAATTCCATACTTTAGCATTAAATTAAACAAAACGCAACTTGACTTGCGTGAGGGTTGGGAGGCTGTGCGCTTATACCTGTTGTACTATATGGAAAAAATGTATATATATAGACACGTGTGGTGCTCAATACAGATCATGGCTTTCAGGATTTCAAGTTGTCGAAATTGGCAATTTAAAAATTTAACGAAATTATTTTTTTCGAAGGGATTTCAAAAGTGTACTTCTGGACAGCGAGTTTTGCACATGACTTTCCAAGGTTTAGCATTGTTTTCATAAAATTACTTTTGGGTTTTTGTTACCACTTAGTGTCAGTGCAATATTATTGGGACAAGAGAGCTGTTATGTTTATGATCAGATTATATTCGAACTTCGTTTAAAAATGGAGATACTTTATGCGCAACATTCCCTTTCGATACGACTTTGAATTTGAACAGTTCCATGCTATCTTCTTTCAGCAATAACTGTAGATGGAATGTTACTTTCAAGGTGCGAAAATTTTATAAAGAGCATACCAAAACCCGAAAGCCGTGGGAAAATACCCGTCAAATTGAACTGAGCGTTTAAAGACTGTTACCTCGTTTACACGTAAGTGCGTTTGTCAACTTATATTTACTTTGTACGCAAAGAATTGCTTTTCACCCTTTTTTAAATATTTTTCTGAAAGAATATGCTTTGGTGTATGGCATTTTGGCATGTAAATTATTTGAATTATCGTAGAAGCCATAATAAAAACACATGTGTGTAGGTGTCTCAGAGCGTTGCAATTCATTTGTAGGATAGGCCAGTCAAGTCAAGTATAAATGAAACTGTCATTTGTTAACTACTGTTAAAGTGGCACTCATATCTTAAATAGTGAAGTTATTCTTTCTATGCTTTCTACATTTTGTTTTATTGTTAGTGCAATTGTGGAAATGTTACAATTTATGTGGAGTCAAGTGCATGATGTATTTTCAAAATGTTATTTCATATTTGTATATGTTTATTACTGAATTTTCATATGACTTTAAAATTGGTCATTTCTCTTTAAGTGTGCGTCTACTGTACGGTCGTTTCATGTTTTGTTTGAAATGGCAAATCCTAGGTTTTAACATCTGAAGGCAATAAAAATCAAACTACTATCTTTTCTTTTAAAATATATTGTCTTACTGTTATTCCTTTTAAAATCCCAATCTTTTTTTTTTTTTTTTTTTTTTACAAATTTTTCGTTATTTTCGTCGATTGCGATCAGTCTGTGCGGATCAGCGAAGATCGACTATTTGGACACTTGCTGAAGTACGCTATGCTACTCACCCTCACCCTCACTGACGCTGATGCCCCCCTTCGACTTAACTTGTTTTCCGTTGACCTCTCGCTTGTACTGGACTCAGCAGATGCATAAATATATAGCGTGTTGTAGCTCTACACAGCTCTGTTTGCCACAACCAGCACGCCGACAATCAGCTTCATTCGAACTGACTGTAACCCCCCACCCCCCACCCCTCTCCTCTTCCCTGCCCCCGGTGGCGCGGGGAGGGGCAGCGGTGCGGAGGAGCGTCAGCGCCTGGCCTTGCCCAAACGCGCCCGCTCTGTGCTAGAAATGTGGAGGGGGAAGGGACTTTGCCCTCTGGTAGAGACAGTCATTAGAGGACTGTCTAAACAGGAGGTACTGGGCCGCATCTTTAAATTGACGGGACACCCATGCTAATATGCTCTGAAGCAGTCAAGAGCGCTAGCAACTGATGTTGTTCCTGAGCTCGATCCATCGGAATTTAAAGTGTAACGTGGTATGACAAAATTGTTTAATAAACTGTGTCGCAAATATTCGGTGCAGCTAGATTGTCCGACCTACAATGTAAATACACCCGAGATTCGAAGCACGAAACTTCACGCCACTACTTAGTGCCCCACTGAACGCGCGCGGGTACGGCGTCACGGCAAAGGCTGCCTGCCGAGTCCTTACTCTTCCTTAGACACATTGATTTTCAAAACGAATCAAGCGAGGAAAAGGGCGATCTGCCCCACCTGTGCTTGGGAATCGAACCCCGCAACTCCGCGTGTTCCAACTCTACTTGAACTACAGGTCGGTAAGCTGGGGAGCAGCCAATGACTTGACTTGACTTGACGACCCGCAAGGCCACTTTCAGCCAATGCCGCAGTATAAAGTGCACATAAGAGCGATCCAAACTTTCAGCATATCGACGAGGTCGGAGAAAAATGGGTCGGAAAAAATTAGGTCGGACAGCTCTTTTGGGGATTTTGGAAAAATCGCCAGGTCGGAGAAAAATAGGTCGGATCCAAATATTTTGTGACGCTTTTATAACGTGCAACAAGAATGTTGTAACTCTTTGCAATAATATGTAACTAGCCCATGGGGACACAGCGCGCACACGTGTGGTTTTTTCTTGAGTGCGGTACCTTTCTTTCAAGTTTCACTGCGGTGGTGCTAACAGTTGAGGCCTTGGCCCCGGGCAGCGCGAGCGGGAGGTGACAGTGGGGCCCAATATGAGCATAGAATCCCGGCAGTGCTACTACCAGGCAGCCCCGTGTCATGCTACCTTGCTGAGCACAAAGTGCACAACGTCCGGCCGGGACGATTTTCAAACAGACCCTGTCAGCCAGACCTTTGCAACATGGATATACCTGACTTTTATCGCGGGCGTAGTGTCCTGGTGACGGGCGTGACGGGTTTCGTCGGCAAAGCCATCGTCGAGAAGCTCCTGCGATGCTGCCCGGACGTGGAGCGCATCTACGTCCTGGTGCGTGCCAAGCGCGGCGTCGATCCTCGGGAGCGAATCTCCAAGGTCTTGCGCATGGATGTGTTCGCGGACCTCCCCGTCGAAAGGGTCACCCCCGTGGCGGGTGACGTGTCTCTACCCAACCTGGGACTGAACATCGAAGACTACGATGCCGTCGTGTCCAACGTGTCTGTGGTGCTGCACTCAGCAGCCACCGTCAGCTTTGTGGAGCCCCTGCCCGTCGCAGTGCTTCTCAATGTACAGGCCATCCAACACATTATGCAGCTGTCGCGTAGCATGAGAAACCTGGCGGTAAGAATGGCAACGTGCGGTAAGAATGGCAGCGTGGCAGTTAAATGTTTGAAGCTTTGGTAGTAAAAAAGTTAGTTGTGGGAACAAATACTTGCCTTTCTTTTGCAAGGACTTCAGGTAGAGGTTAACGTCCATCGGCTAAGATGGACTGCAAAAGTTCTGCTGGTCCAGCTAAAAGTTTAGCTAGCTCTAAACTAGCACACATTTAGCTAGAGTAGCTTACCTCGGCATGATACGCGTTACCCTCTGCCACAGTCAGTGATCCACGTCTCCACAGCGTACAGCAACTGCGACAGGAAGGACGTCGGTGAGGAGATCTACGCGCCGCCAGTCAGCGTCAAGGAAATGCTGCGCAGGGCGCAGGAGGAAGGCGAGCAACTCGAGAAGGAGAGCTCGCGGTGAGTGTCCCCACGGAGCGAGGATGGGGTTGGCTCATGCGCTAATGGCCGAAGTGAGTCGTACATTCTTGTTATTGCATTTGTTTCTAGACTTATTGGAAAGCGGCCGAACACGTACACCTTCACTAAGGCTCTCGCCGAGAACCTGTGGGCCGAGGACGCGCGTGACCTCCCGGTGGCTATCGTTCGCCCGTCCATCAGTGAGTGCCCCGCCCAACCCCTCCCTTTAGCTTAACACGATCTTCGACCCTCCCCTTCTTTTCTCCAGTCGGTTGGGCGTGGCGCGACCCGGCGCCCGGCTGGGTGGACAACACCAACAGCATCGTGGGTCCCTTCTCGGCCATCGCGTCAGGGACGACGCGCAGTATACACTGCGACCCCACCAAAGTGTGCGACCTGATCCCCGTGGACGTGGTGGTCAACGTGGTGCTCGCTGCGGCCTGGAGCACGGCCCTGGAGAGGCCCCCGCTCATTGCCGAGGCGCACCGGGACCCTGGGCGGGCCGCGCCGCGCGCCGGCGCCGTGCCTGCCGTCTACAACTGCGTGTCCAGCGCGTCGAACCCAGTCACCTGGGGCAAGCTGCTCGAGGACTGGCTGGCGGCTGTGCGCGCCAGCCCCAGCCCGAGCGCGCTCTGGTGGCCCGACTGCACCTTCACGCCGTCCTGGATAGGCCACGGCGTGCGCGTCGCCTGTCTGATGATTGCCCCTGCCTTCCTGTTTGACCTCGTCGCCGCCCCGCTTCTCGGCAGGCCAGCCACGTACGTATTTCACGTCTTGAGACTATGATCTGATCACCAATGAAAACTTGACTGTTAACTCCAAATGGCCAGGATATGACCAAAACAAC